TGAGTGAGCCGATTTGCAACACGAGGACAGTTACTGTGAGCTCATTGGCACTAAGCAGAAGTCACGTGTTAAATTCCGCACCCAATCGTCAGCCCTCGGTAGCTCAGTGGTAGAGCAGCGGACCGGAAATTCGTGGACCGGGGTTCGATTCCCCGTCGAGGCAGATTTTCGTGTGGAGCTTAATCGTGACTTATACCTTCTACGAAACTTACGTTACTCACAAACATCCGTCAAATACGGATATTTGTCTCACAGACTAGAGTTCTCGCACCGAAACGACGGATGTTCAGCAACCCACCATCAACACGGTGCTCCACACGAACACAGTAAGCACAAGCGGCATCAAAATTACAAGAAATGATTGTATGAAAATATATATTAAACTGGGCAGGAGCTAAGACAGCCTTGCTTTACACCAGTGAAACTGCGAATTCATCTGAGTTCTCTCCACTCAGCTGCACCCTCGCCCGTATACCACTGTGCAGACGTTCAATTGAACTTACAAACTTACGCGGACAACCCATCTTACCCAACACTAGCCACAATGCCTCGCGGTTCACCGTATCAAATGGTTTGGTGAAATCAACATAAGGGAATACAGTGGATGGTGTTGTTCTCTGCAATTCTCCCGCAACTGATGAGCTGCAAGCACCATTTCTATGGTGCTGTGACCCGACCGGAATCCACATTGCTCTTCTGCCGTGTTAGGTTCCACGACCTGACTGACGAGGTGGTGGAGCAGTATTCTGGCAATCACCATGCCCACACAACTCAGCAAGTTGATGCCACGATAATTCACGAAACATTGCTTGCTCTCTTTGCCCTTGTACGGTGGCAGCACAAGGGCATCGTTCAGCTCGGGAGGCACCTCCTCCTCAATCCATACACGTTGCACCAAGTGGTGCAGCGCAGTCAACAACACGGGTCCGCCGTGTTTCAATACTTCGGCCGAGATCCCGTCGGCTCCAGCACACTTGACGTTTCGCAGCTGAGCAAGTATTCTCTGCGTCGCATCCAGTGTCGGCGTGGGTGCCAGACGCCTTCACATCGTGCTGCTTGAGGCCGTTCAAAGTAGGTCAGTCGATCTCTGAACGGTTGTTCAAGAGATAGTCAAAGTATTTTTACCAGGTCTGCATTATGTCTGCAGTCTATGTGCTTGTAGCGCCTGAGCTAACATCGATCAGCGTCCTCAGCGGCTCCAATCTTGGTCCATACATCGCCTTCAAGAAGTTCAAGAATTCCTTGTGTTGGTGGTGTTCGGCATAGCATTCTATCTGCCTCGACTTCATGGTCCATCATGCATTTGTAATGCGACGGAGCTCTCGGCTCAGTCGCCGTCGAAGTTTGCGAAACTGACTCTTCTTCCCCAATTCACTGGGGTCTGCCATATGTGCAACAAGTGCTGTATTCTTCTCACACACCAATGCGCCAGTCGTCACATCTTTCTCATCAAATCAATAAGGTCGCTTACAGTTTGCGCGTCCGATGGTCTCCTCAGCAGCAGCTGTTACCTGGTCGCGAATGTGGTGCCACATGTCGCCCACTGGGGCTATGCAGTCAACCTCACACAGGCGTGCAGCCATCGCCTTCTCCAGCTCAGTACGTTTCGCCACAGTACCGAGGGAGAGAATGTTAAATTTACGCCGACTCAGGGGGCAGTGTAATACATATATTTAAGAAAATATATGTACGGTTTGGTGCGCACCAATCTGTGATCAATGCCACACTCAGCTCCACGCAGTACACGTGTCATGCGCACTTCACGCATATCACGCTGACGTACGACTACGTAATCGAGCACGTGAGCGTGGCCACTCTGTGGGTGCGTCCAAGTTGCTATAACATTCGCACCCAGTTCAAACCGAGTGTTCGTGCTCGTCAGGCCGTGAGTGACACACAGTGAGAGCAACCTGTCACCGTTCGCATTCACTGAACCAATGCTATGCGGACCGCTAACATCTGTCTACACCGATGCATCACGCTCAACGAGCGCATTGAAATCACCCAGCAGAAATAGTGGGTTGCTCCTCGGCACAGACTGTATCACGAAGGATAGCTGCATGTAGAATTGATCACGCGTGTCATCAGGATAACACATGGTCGGACGTACATATTTATAAAAGTGGCAAACTTACCTCGCCCGAGTCGTAGACGAACAGTCATCAGTCGTGCGCTGATGCCTGTTGGTTCACCCACGAGCTGACCTTGGAGGCAATCGGACATTGCAAACCCGACCCCATGTTCATGTGGTGCTGAGGCGGCGTTGCCCACCCAGTAGTTTGTGTAGCCAGCACCTGCTTCCTGCAACTTACCTTGCTCAGAGAGCAGGGTTTCATTAAGCGAAGCAATATCGATGTGGTAACGTGCCATTTCCATTGCGATCAGTGCAGTGCGGCGCTCGGGGCGCTCACTCATGTTCCGGGCCAGTAGTGTGTGCACGTTCCAGCACCCGATGCTGAGTGCTTTCCGCGCAGGCGTACGCTTGCATTGGTGGGTAATCGCACGCGACTTGGCAGATGTGCTTCGGAAATTTGCTTGAGGGATTCTACTTGGGTTTGCGTACTGTCTCTAAGATCCCAACAGCGTGTATAGTGTCATTAAAGTACATAAATTGGGGGCCGACCAAAGCTGTGTTCAACTTAATAAACACATAAAAGTCAATGAGGGCAAGATTTTGTGAATAGATCTGAGGGGAGAAATGGAATTATGCATTCATGTATTGCCGCCATACCAACTGCTGATGTGTGGCCGCACCACAGCCATAGCGGAACAGGATGCTTGTTTTCAACATTCTTAGACATTTTCTGATTGGTTTATCCAAGACCATGCACTGGATCAGCGAACTAGCATGTCCTGCTGGTGCTAAATGTTTTCAATAAATCCATCATTACCACATCTCCAACATCGCCTGAGGAGTGACGTGGGTTTTATTCGGTACCGAAGGTCTCACATGCTGCCATCTGGTGGATTATTTTTATAATTCAGGCTGAGGTTGTTGAGACAAACATTCACTAATAGTAACTAATACAGCAGTGAAATTTTATACACCAGCTCCGAACATTCCGATTTAGCAATAAAATGTTGCGCCTAATGATTTGCTGCTCGAGAGTCAAAAGTTGACTGACTCATCGAGCAGAATCTTTAGGATAAACAGTTTCGTTACCCAGAAAATGTTTCACTTGCTCCCGTAAGCATTCCAACTTGCTTGCAACAGGAAGCGTTTAAAATCGAGTGCCTTGTACAAGCTATGTCTACAGTACAGCGAAGGCTTTTAATCGCAGTGGTACTCGATG